ATTGCTTTTATCACTGTGAACAATTGAAAAAATAAAGGTCTGGTTAGGATATGAACTGTAAATGTCCTCTTCTTTTGCATGCATCTCCTTTCGGTTCAATTTTATTGCAAAATCGCATTCCATGCACTGTTTTCTCCTAAAATTTGAAATGACAAGTGCATGACGAGCCATAATCTATCGGCTCAAAAGGTATTGCTTTCCATTTAGGCACTATTTCTTGCTAGATTAGAGGTGCTCAAGACGTTCTCAAATTAATAACAAGTGTTGACGGAGAGAGTAGTAAGAAAAACTTGTTTCTTGGATTTCTTTGCAGCACTGTTTTTTTTCTAAAATATCGTTCAAAACGCTGATGGAGACACTAAGCTCTTTTACTATTGTTTAATTAATTTGGAGGTTTTTTCGTCTGTCTATACGTGTATGATTATCATCTACTAAAGGACGATTATCATGCACTCTTTCTTGTGAAACTTTTGCGTTATGCCCTTAAATTACAACTCTGTGTGAAATGGAGACACAATGACTATTGAACTTCATTGTTTACTTGATCAATAAATATATTTCAATAAATAAGAACCAAAGAATAAGAAAAAAATTCCACACGTATGAAAATTGTAATAATCTTATGTACACGCCGCTTGAAGGTATGCAAGCAGCAAATAAAAAAATAACTTTGCAATTATTTCAAATCATTATACAAATGTACTACAAATGACAACTGAAGGGCACTAAAAAGTATTTACAGCGTCCTCAAGTTGTCATTTATAAAAGCATAGAGTACATAGCAGCTCAATAAAATAATAATCATAAAAGTACCGTACAATTTAAGCATGATTAAAGATGATAGTTTCCTTTTAATATGGTTCCACGGGTTTCGCGACTGCTAAAGTACGCGGTGGTCCGTCGGGATCTCCACGGGCAGGGCAAAGACAATACTAAATTTTTGATCAGTTTGTAATCAGCACAAAAGATTGGATTACTTACAGTGGCATTTTTTCCTGCAGCTCCTGGAGGTCCCATGGGACCCGGCGGCCCATCAGGCCCTGCAGCACCTTGATATCCAGGCATGCCTAAAAACAAAGAACTCTAGGAGTGGGGCCTTTCGTTTAGCAAGACCTCTTCAGAATGATTACCAAACGATGGAGGAACCATGTGTCAAGTAAAAGCCTAACCTTCCAGTCCCGGTTTTCCAATTGGGCCAATTAATATGGATTTACCAGAGTTTCCTTTAGGACCCGGTTTTCCAGGTTCACCAGGGGGTCCACGTGGTCCCTGATAGAAAAG